GGTTTTTTTTTTTTTTTTTTTTTTTTTTTTAGAGAGAGAGAGGAAGGGGAGGGAGAGAAAGAGAGAGAAACATCGATGTGAGAGTGAAACATCCATCAATTGCCTTCTGCATGCACCCCAACCAGAGGTGGAACCCACAACCTGGGTATGTGCCCAGACGAGGAATTGAGCCTACCACCTTTCGATGTATGGGAAATTCTCCAACCAACTGAGCCACACCGGCCAGGGCTACTTTTTATTTAATTTAATTTAGTCAATGCCCAAATATTAAAAGAAAACCTAAAAAACATAAGTTTGATGCTTACTTTGTTCCAACATCTTACTCAACTGAAGCTGTATCAAGACCTAGAATGGCCAGAATATAGTCTCAATTTTATTTGTACACAAATCTCCTTCATGATCATGCAAACATCTTCATTTCCTCTTTCTAATTTCTTTATGTTTTATTGGAGGTCATTATGTTGCAGATTTTACCTCCTGTGTATTTAATTTCAAAAAAATTTTTTCCCAAAAATTAAAAAATGATTTTTAGTCTTTAAAAAAATGAAGTAGCCAAACCTGTATCTGTTTATATTTTTTGTATGCTTTTGCTAAATTATTAATACCAAAATATTACAGATTATTTCAAATTCAAGATTAATTACATTTTACACCAAACACCATGATTTGTTCCTACCTGAGGATATTCTGTCTTGCTTATTTCTTCTTATGCATCTCTTAGCATGTTTAAATAAAATCTTATAGCTTTAATTGCATGTAGTTGGCATTCCCACTGTGTGCTGTATTAAGGATAAACTTGATAAGTATTTTATTAAGTTGTTTCACTTTAGGCAGGCCTGTAAAATACTTCAAATAATATTTAAATTGTTTCAAATAATAGCATAATTAACAGCCCAGCTGTGACTATATCTTCTAGTTACAAATTCAAATCATAAGCTGTACATGGCACAAAGAATACATCTGGAATTTGGAGCAAAATTCTGTCTTGAAAACCTCTCTCTTGCCAACTATTTAGCACCAGTATTTTAGATGCACCCTCAATAATATTTTAAATTATTTAAATAAAGTGGACAAATATTTATTATTTTAGAAAATTTAAATAATTCTTATTCCATATTTTATAAAAATAAAATTATTCAAATTCTAGTGTCCAATATATATCTAGTTGCCAATGGAAAGATTATCTGTACTGCACTTCATGCATTTTACACCTAGATTTACATATATACAGGTTTATTGGTAATACAGATAGTTTAATTATTACAGTGTTCCAAAGTTTCCATGCACAGCTGTTGAAAATACTGCACAGGTTTGTGAATTCCTCCAGAACCATGAGCAGGAATATAGAGAGATGTAAGGAAATGGAAGCTTGGCACTGCTGGAAAATGAGACAATCTGCTCCATTCATTCTATCTGAGAGGATATATTTGAGTAATTTGTATTTTCTTTTACCATGTGGAAGCCATGTCTGCCTCCCTATCCACTGTAGCATAGCCCATAAATATTTAGGTATTATGACACAATGACCTTTTATTTTGAGGATTGGAAGAAGAAGTGCTTCTCTGGAGTGCAGACAATTTATGAAATACTCTCTGAAGTCAACCATGGTACCAGGGGAACATCCACCCTTTTAGAGGATATTTCATTCTCTACTCACAGACATGTGTCTTCCTCCCAATGCTTGAAAAATAATTATGAAAACAACAAAGGCAGCCCAGCGGGCGTGGCTCAGCTGTTGAGCGTTGACCTAGGATCCAGGCGATCAGGGTTCGATTCCCAGTCAGGGCACATGCCCAGGTTGCAGGCTACAGCCGATCAATGACTCTCTCATCATTGATGTTTCTATCTCTCTCTCCCTCTCCTTTTCTCTCTCTGAAATCAATAAAGAGATATTTAAAAAAAAAACAAACAAACAAAAAACAAGGGCATAATCCATTACTATAACATGATGAGCCAAGCAGCTGT